GGGTTTCACCATGTTGACCAGGATGGTCTCGATCTCTTGACCTTGTGATCCACCCGCCTCAGCCTCCCAAAGTGCTGGGATTACAGGCTTGAGCCACCGCGCCCGGCTGAAGGTAGTGATCTTAACATGCGTTTCAGTTCTTATATTGTGTGCTGCTGGTAAGTAGAAGCTGTGGCGTCTCTCTTAAGAGAGTTTAGAACTCTGTAGGCCTTATAAATGCACTTTATTTGCTTTCTCATTTTATCATGGGTTAAAATATTTTATTAATTTTTATGATTTTTCATACAGCTTTTGGGTATGTGGTATGCAGTGTAACTGACACATTCCTCTCATTAGTGTCACAAAGTGCTACTGGTTGCAGTGGCTCATGCTTGTAATCCAGGACTTTGAGAGGCCCAGGCGGGTGGATCACTTAAGGTCAGGAGTTCGAGACCAGCATGGCCAACATGGTGAAACCCCATCTCTATTAAAAATATAAAAATTAGCCAGGCATTGTGGTGTGTGCCTGTAATCCCAGGTACTCAGGAGGCTGAGGCAGGAGGATCATTTCAACCTGGGAGGTGAAGATTGCAGTGAGCTGAGATCACATAATTGCACTCCAGCCTGGGTGACAGAGTGAGACTGCATCTCGAAAAAATAAAAATACAAAAAATTTTTAAGAAAATTTTACAAAGTGCCTGTTCTGCATGGAAATAGGTAATTTTATGACATTTATTTAGAAAAATACTGTATTAATATTTCCTTTTCTTTTTTCTTTTTAAAAATGCGGTCTTACTTTGTCACCCAGGCTGGAGTGCAGTGCTGTGACCTCTGCTCACTGCAATCTCTGCTTCTTGGGTGCAAGTGATTCTTGTGCCTGTGGTTTCAGCCTTTGTAGTAGCTGGGACTACAGGCGCGGGCCACCACACCTGGCTAATTTTTATAATCTTTTATTCTCAGTGCTGTGATTGTTTGGCTATGCAGAATTTCCATTGAATTTGGTTATCCTTACATGAGCTTGTTGTGAATTTACCAATATGCTATATTGTACAGTCTTTTAGCATTCATTTGTATACAGTAAATGTACTATAAGTATGAAGATAACATGTTTTTATCTTCTTTGTTGAAACAGTGATATGTTTTTTGCAAACTGTTATACACTTGAGGACCACAGTGGAAGAATACTCCTTACTTTAGGCTCACAGATGTTGCTGCCCTGTCAGTGTTTTGTCATGATATTTGAAATAGGATTCCATAGAAATGATTTGAAGGGCATATAATCAACCTTTATTTATTAAAGAATCTTACTCCTTTTGTGATCCTGAACTTTGAAGATTAAGTTTGGAAAGTTTAAGTATTGTTTTTTGTGTCGTATTTACATATTGCAGTATTTTTTACCATCTGTACTGAATTAGAAACCTATTCGTGTTTACAGTTTGTTAAGTATCTCTTCCAAATGCGTGATGAAGGAGTTCTCGTCCACAGGGCCAGGCAATACAGAAGTGTTCCACATAAGATCATTGGAAAGACATGAAAGTCGTCACATTGGAGATTTTTGCCTCCAGGAAATTGAGAAAGATATTCATGACTTTGAGTTTCTTTTTTTTTTTTCTTCTACTCTTTTTTTTTTCTTTTGAAAATATAAAGATGGGGTTTCACCATGATGGCCATGCTGGTCTTGAACTCCTGACCTCAGGTGATCCACCCACCTCAGCCTCCCAAAGTGCTAGGATTACAGGCGTGAGCCACTGTGCCTGGCAGACTTTGAGTTTCAGTGGCCAGAAGATGAAAGAAATGGCCATGAAGCACCCATGACAAAAATAAAAAAGTTCACTGGTAGTACAGAGAGATATGATCAAAAGCATACTGGAAATAAGCCTATTAAAGATGAGTTTAGATTAAGCTTTCATTTTCATCTGCCTGAACTGCATGTGTTTCAGACTGAATGGGAAAATTGGTAATCAAGTGGAGTAACCTGTCAATGATGCTTCCTTGGTTTCAACATCCCCAAGAATTTTTTGTAGGCCCAATTCCCATATTTCTAATAACCATGACAATTTCCTCCATTCTTCATTACTCACACAATAACAGGAAGTACACATGAGAGAAAAACCCTTCCGATGTAAAGAGAGTGGCAAGGCCCTTACTGTAATTGTAGCTCACTCTTACAGAAACATCAGATAATCCATTTAGGAGAGAAACAATATGAATGTGATATATGTGGCAACGTCTTTAATTAGAAGTGATACCTCGCACACTGTTGTAGATGTCACACTGGTGAGAAACCTTCCAAGTATGAGTGTGGCAAGGTTTTTTTCTTTTTTTTTTTTTTTTGAGACGGAGTTTCGCTCTTGTTACCCAGGCTGGAGTGCAATGGCGCGATCTCGGCTCACCGCAACCTCCGCCTCCTGGGTTCAGGCAATTCTCCTGCCTCAGCCTCCTGAGTAGCTGGGATTACAGGCACGCGCCACCATGCCCAGCTAATTTTTTGTAGTTTTAGTAGAGACGGGGTTTCACCGTGTTGACCAGGATGGTCTCGATCTCTTGACCTCGTGATCCACCCGCCTCGGCCTCCCAAAGTGCTGGGATTACAGGCGTGAGCCACCGGCACCCGGCCTGGCAAGGTTTTTAATCAACCATCAAACCTTGCATGTCATCATAGTCTTCATTCTGGAAAGAAACCTTATGAGTGTAATGAATGTGGCAAGCATTTTAATCAAAAAGGAAACCTTGAATGTCACCACAGACTTCATACTGGAGAGAAACCCTACAAGTGTAATGAATGTGGCAAGGGTTTTAATCGAAAATCACACCTTGTATATCATCTTAGAAGTCATACTGGAGAGAAACCTTACAAGTGTAATGAGTGTGGCAAGACCTTCAATCAAAAGTCATCCCTTACATACCATCATAGACTTCATACTGGAGAGAAACCTTACAAGTGTAATGAATGTGGCAAGGGTTTTAAACAAAAATCAAACCTTGCACGTCATCATAGACTTCATACTGGAGAGAAACCCTACAAGTGTAATGAATGTGGCAAGGGTTTTAATCGAAAATCACACCTTGTACTTTATTGTAGACTTCATACTGGAGAGAAACCTTACAAATGTGAAGAATATGACAAAGTTTTCAGTCGCAAATCACACCTTGAAAGACATTGGAGAATTCATACTGCAGAGAAACCCCATACAAATGGAAGGTTTGTGACAAGGCTTTTGGGTGTGATTTACACGTGGCACTACATACCAAAATTGACACTTTGTGCCATTTTTAAGTTTTTTGTGTTTTTATTTTGTTGAGGTGGAGCCTTGCTGTGTTGCCCAGGCTGGAATGCAATGGCGCTGTCTCAGCTCAATGCAACCTTCGCCTCTGGCTCAAGTGATTCTCCTGCCTCAGGCTCCTGAGTAGCTGGGATTACAGGTGCCCACCACCATACCAAGCTAAAGGTTTTGTATTTTTACTAGAAAGAGGGTTTCACCATGTTGGCCAGGCCGACCTTGAACTCCTGACCTCCCAAAGTGGTAGGATTACAGACCTGAGTCACTGGCCCAGCCTGCCTCTACTTTTTTTTTTTTTTTTTTTGAGGGGGGCGGTTTGAGGTGGAGTTTTACTCCTTACTCAGGCTGCAGTGCAGTGGTGCAATCTCAGCTCACGACCACCTCCTCCTTCCGGGTTCAAGCAGTTCTCTTGCCTTAGCCTTGAAGGACGCTGGGATTACACACGTGCTCCACCATGCCCGGCTAATTTTTTGTATTTTCAGTAGAGATGGGGTTTCTCCATTTTGGCCAGGCTGATCTCAAATTCCCCACCTCAGGTCATCCAACTGCCATGGCCTCCCAAAGTGCTGAGATTACAGGCATGAGCCACTGCACCCAGCCCAGCTGTCCTGTGGTTTTATCCATTATTGAAGGTGGGATGTTCAAATCTAGCATTAAATGGAGCTATTTCTTTGAGTTCTTTAAATATTGGCTTTATATATGGAACTCTGATATTCATGCATATATATATTTCTAGTTGTATATTCTGGGTGAATTAACTCTCTTATCATGGTATAATGTCCTTCCTGGTCTCCAATAAAAATTTTTTGTTTTTTGTGAGACTGAGTCTCACTCTGTTCCCCAGGCTGCAGTGCAGTGGCGGGATCTCGGCTCACTGGAATTTCCGTCACCCAGGTTCAAGCCATTCTCCTGCCTAAGCCTTCCGGAGTAGCAGGGATTACAGGCACCTCCTACCATGCCTGGCTAATTTTTGTATTTTTAGTAGAGACGGGGTTTCAGCAAGTTGGCCAGGATGGTCTCTATCTCTTGACCTTGTGATCCATCTGTCTCAGCCTCCCAAAGAGCTGGGATTACGGGCATGAGCCACCACGCCCAGCCAATAAAATATTATTGAGTTAAAACATATTTTAGTATAGCCACCTCTGCTCTCTTTGGGTGACATTTGCCTGGAATATCTTTTTTTTTAATCTTTTGTGTTATTCTGTATTAAAATTTTATTTTTAGATACAGTGTCTTGCTCTGTCACCCAGGGTGGAGTACAGTGGTGTGATCAAGGCTCACTGGAAGAAATCTTGAATTCCTGTGCCCAATGAGTCTCCCACCTCAGCCTCCCCTGGTAGTTGGTACAGGTGCATGCCACCATGGTGAGCTAATTTTATATATATATATATATATATATATATATATATGGGGGGTGGGGTTGACCATCTTGGCCAGGCTGGCCTTGAACTCCTAATGTAATGATTCACCTGCCTTGGCCTCCCAAAGTGCTGTAATTACAGGTGTGAACCACAGTGCCCGATGATGGGCTAATATTTTTTTTAGAGGCAGTGTCTAGCTGTGTTGTTGAAGTTGGTCTTGATCTCCTGGGCTCAAGAGATCCTCCTCAGCCTCCTCAGTTGCTGGGATTACAGGCCCCAACCCCCATACCTAATTATTGGTTGCTATTTTTTAAACTGTAGCGTGTGTATATCCTTAGGGCTAATTTGAGTCTTCTGTGGACAACATGTAGTTAGTTCCTGTTGATTCAGCCAGTCTTTGCCTTCTGCGTTCTGTTTAATATTTACATTTGATGTATGACTGGTGGAGAAGACCTTACTGTTTAATTCTTGTATGTTTTTTTTTGTTCTTCATTTCTCATTGACTACTTTTTGTGTTTAATTGCTTTTTTGTGTAGATACTCTTTAACTTTCTTTTCATTGACTTTTTCTTTTATGACCGAGTCTCACTCTGTTGCCCAGGCTACAGTGCAGTGGTACAATCTTGGCTGACCACATCCTCTGCCTCCCAGCTGAAACTATTTTTTGCCCCAGCATCCTGAACAGCTGGGACTTGAGGCACCCACCACCATGCCCAACTAATTTTTGTGTTTTTAATAGGGATGGGGTTTCACCATGTTGTCCAGGCTGGACTTTAACTCCGTATCTCAAGTGATTTACCTTCCTCGGCTTTCCAGAGTGCTGGCATTACAGTTGCGAGCTGCCATGCCCAGCCATTGTTTATGTAGTTTTTGTAATTTAGTTTTCGCTAAACATATAAGTGGTTTGAGCGTGATTACAATGTGAACATAGCAACCATGTTAGTGTGGATTCCTTTCCATATGAAGAACTGAAGTGTGTTGTGTAGATATTTGAGGCGGAAGTCATTGTTGCAGGTATGTTAAACTTCTCAAAGTTATAGCATAGTAATGAAACTTTAAATGTGCATAATCCAGGCCGGGCGCTGTGGCTCAAGCCTGTAATCCCAGCACTGTGGGAGGCCGAGGCGGGTGGATCACAAGGTCAAGAGATCGAGACCATCCCGGTCAACATGGTGAAACCCCGTCTCTACTAAAAATACAAAAAATTAGCTGGGCATGGTGGCACGTGCCTGTAATCCCAGCTACTCAGCAGGCTGAGGCAGGAGAATTGCCTGAACCCGGGAGGCGGAGGTTGCGGTGAGCTGAGATCGTGCCATTGCACTCCAGCCTGGGTAACAAGAGCGAAACTCCGTCTCAAAAAATAAATAAATAAATAAATAAATAAATAAAATAAATGTGCATAATCCTTCCTTCCTTCCTTTCTCTCTCTCTCTCTCTCTCTCTCTTTCTCTTTCTTTCTTTCTTTCGTTCTTTCTTTCTCACTTTGTTCCTTGGACTGAAGGTCAGTGATGTGATCTCAGCTCACTGCATCCTCTGCTTCTTGGGTTCAAGTAATTCTTGTGCCTCAGCCTCCAGAGATCTTCTTAGTGCTATGATTGTTTGACAATACAGAATTTCCTCTGATTTTTGTTATGCTGACATGAGCTTATTGTGGATTATTTACCAATGTAGTATATTGTATGGTCCTTTAGCATTTATTTGTATACAGCAAATATGCTGTAAATTTGAAGAATATATAGTTTTCTCATCATTGATATGATGGTAGTGTGTTTTTTGCAAACTGCTGTGCACTTTAGGATCACAGTGGAAAAATCCTCCTTACTTTAGATTTATACATGTTTGTGCCCTGTCAGTGTTTTTCATGATATTGAAAATAGTCTTCTGTAGAAATAATTTGAGGTACATGGAATTGCCCTTAATTATTTCTTTATTGATTTTTTTTTTTTTTTTTTTTGAGATGGAGTCTAGATCTGTAGTACAATGGCGTGATCTCAGCTCACTGCAGCCTCCACCTCCTGGGTTCAAGTGATTGTCCTGCCTTAGCCTCCCGAGTTGCGGGGATTACAGGTGCTTGCCACCATGTCTGGCTAATTTTGCCCTTTATTAAAGAATCTTATTCCTTTTGTGTTCCTATACTTTGAAGATCATGTTGGGAAGTTTAAAATAAGAATTGTTCTGTGTGTCATATTTACACATTTCAGCATTATTTACCATTTATACTGAATTGCAAACCTATTGGTGTTTACATCTTGTAGATGTCGCTTCCAAATGCATGATCAAGGCAACACGCACAGGACAGCGTAATACAGAAGTGTTCCCCACAAGGACATTGCAAAGACATGAAAGTCATCACATGAGAGAAAAATCTTTCCAATGTAATGAGACTGGCAAAGCCTTTAATTGTAGCTTACTTTTAAGGAAAAATCAGATAATCCATTTAGGAGAGGAACAGTATAAATGTGATGTATGTGGCAAGCTCTTTTTTTTTTTTTAACTTTTTAATTTTTTTTATTTTATAGCTACTTACTTACAGAGTGGCAAGGTCTTTAATCAGAAGCGACAGCTTGTACGCCATCGTAGATTTCATACTGGAGAGAAACCTTACAAGTGTCATGAGTGTGGCAAGAACTTCAGTCAGATGGCAAATCTTGTAGACCATCATAGACTTCATACTGGAGAGAGACCTTACAAGTGTAATGTATGTGGTAAGACCTTCAGTCACACGTCATACCTTTTTTACCATCGTAGACATCATACTGGAGAGAAACCTTACAAG